ACGCTCTCTATTCTTTATTCTATTGCTTATATGCTGCTTCGAGAGTTGTTTTGACTTGCAGCGGTATTAAGGGTAGGAAGTTGTGTTCTCTAAGACGTATTGTGGCTTGTTTAGCTAGCTTGTCTACTTCCTTATTTCCTTGGATACCGTAGTGGCTTGGGATCTACTGGATCGTGAAACTTATTTAGAGACTTTTATAGAGAGATTGGGCTGTACTGAGGATAGACCGTACGATGCTTTGGCCTAATCTCTTTTTATATCTCCTAGTCAGAGCTTGGAGGGCGGCTTTAGAGTCGCTGTAGATAACGTATTCGGTTAGGCTATAGGGTCCCTCTTGTAGGTGTTTTTCAGCTACTAGCTCTATCCCCGTTAGAATAGCAATTAGTTCGGCTGCTTGTACTGTGTAGAAATTGCTAGATCTAACTCCTTTAAGCGTACTGTATCGGGCGTTCCCGGCTTGGTCTAGAATAACTACTACTGCTCCTAGCTAGTTGTTTATCTTAGAAGCATCTATATAGACCTAGGAGAGCGGGTCCCTCTTTTCCGCGTGACTTAGGAACACCTTATCTTTATCCGGGGGTAGTATTATCTTAATCTCTACCGGGAGTGGTTGCTAGGGAGGAGGTAGGTAGATATCTATCGTTTCGGTTTCTTAGTACGGGATTAGGCTGCTAAGTTTTAGGGTCGCCTTTAGCGGACTTAAGAAGCTCGCTGGTTTGTTCCGGGTTTTATCGATCTTAGGGACTAACGCGTAGGCAGGGTACGAGGTAGGTAGCCCCCTAAGACTAGTAATAACTCTTGCTGCCCTAGATTCGAGGCGTAATCTTATAGGCAAAATAAAGTTCTCTACATCTAGGGTCTCTATCGATACCGAACGAAAGGTAGAGATAGCCTTTATTATTACTAGCCGTTGGACCTTGGAGAGAACCGATATTTGCTACTTGCACCTGTTGGGGGAGTGCTAGACTGTAGAGGTATAGTCTATCTGCGGGACTACGCAGGCTTGGTATAGCTAGCGGAGTTGCTTCGGTCTAAGATACTCTAGCCTACCTATTACTAAGCAGGTTGTAGTAGCTCGTTTAATTACTCTTTAGATATACGCTCTCTATCTAAGTTCTTGGTCGAGAACTACTCCGAGTAGCTTTACCGCCTTTATTGGTTTGACCTCGTGTCTACCTATTATTACGGTTGCTAGGCAGTCCTAATTAGTGTTTCTCGTAAAGTAGATAAGCTCGGTCTTATCTGCCTTAAAAGTCGATCCGGTACGCCGTACCTATTACTAGATTCTCGGGATATCCTCTCTCTATAGCGCTGTTAGGTTCTTTTATACTGAGAGGCTTACCCTCTACCGGAAGTAGTCGTTAATATAGGCGGACGCGCCTCCGGTAAAATCTACTAGTTGGTCCACTAGGTCTGCGTTGTAGAAAGCGAAGAGAATTAGTAAGAGAGGAGAGTCTTGTAGGAGACCGGGGTAGCTAAGTGTTGATACGGGCTTAGTAAATCCGTCGAATAAGATTAAGGCGGATCTATCGGATATAAAGCTGCTAATCTACTTTCTTGCCTAACTTGGGATTCTTCTCTAACCTAGATAGTCATCTAGAGCTTCTTTATTTACCGCGTTAAAGGCGCCTTTAAGGTCGAACGCTATTAGGGTGACTACTTTAT